CTCAGCTTATAATGGACGTTTCCACGGTCCAGTGACGTATGTGTATACAGTTGTAGAAATATATTCCCTACCCACTTGTGATCATCGTGCAGCAAACAGTTACCATAAAAAGTTTAATTTAGTACTTTTATATCTTCCTATAAGTTTTCGACATAATTGCGTTATGAACGACTGTAAAAGATATTTATTATCTGTATGAAACCAAATTGTTTACGCCATAACTGTACAAACAACAATCTTTCGAATTTTAAAATAGATTTTCGACTATTCTGAGAGTTTGCACTTACTAACACTAAACACCTAAACAAACCTATCTTTACGTAAAACAGAAACCCTTCAGTGAATATTTCCCAGTAAACAGATAAAAAATAATAACCCTAATCAATAGTCAACAGAATAGACAAGAAGATTGTTACGTAGTTGATTAAGTACAAGGAGCACCTCGACCCTACGACCCAACCATACTTCCTATTATCAAGTCTAGCTTAGTATTTATAGACAAACACTAGATGCGGCACACTTAAGTGGATCTAATGAATGGTCTCTCGTAGACCACCTACCGCCTAGACCGGTCGGTTGACCTGTAATTTACTGCCGGAGAAAGCTCAAATTGCCGAGCACTTCATTCTATGTAGGTCGACTTCCCGGCTTCAATTTGTTAACACTTGTGATAAAGATGGAAATATATGCCAATAAAATATGGTAGCTGGCATGCCGGCTAGTAACACGATGTATATGCAAACCAGTAAAAATCTATGAGATCGTATTAGACAACCTGTCAGTTGTCAAATGTGTAGTACATGCCAGGTACTCGATACACGAGGATATGTTCATTAAATTACTAAAATTACTGGTAAATTTAATATCGATTAGATATTGCCGATGATAATCGAAGAACCATCGAATCAGGACACACGTGGGGTTTGGTTTGTTTAGCAAATTGTACAAAGATAACTACGTGGGTGGTTTGCCGGTTTGTATTGAGCACAGTAACCTTTAGAAAGTTCTTAAATGTCGAGATGTTTCCCGACACAGAGTATTATAGTTATTGTTGTTTATGAATATACTTTAAAACTTATGATTCGCCAATTTTTATTAATGAAATTGATTTAAAAAGATATTTTTTACAGAAGTTCGGTCTGTCTAATCGCAATTACTTTCATAACAAAATAAGAAGAAAGTATTCTTTATAGTTTTCTATAAATTGGTTGAACTTTTAAAAGTATTTTGACAAAAAACGCGATAAGCTAAGAAATGTTATGACAAATAAATAGTTTTAATATTACAAAAAAGTTAACCGTTCCCTCTGTTATTTAATTAGTCTGTGCGTTTGAGACATTTGCAAACAATAGCGATGTGCACGTGCAGGACGCGTCTTGCAAAAACTGGTCTGCTCTGTGTTAGCCGGGATTTTGTACACAACGCAGACATCCTTTCCCTTTCGACATCGCTGAAATATACCGTTATTTCTGTTAATATTTCGATAATATACAGTAAACTTTTATTATTAAATAACATTTATAGGTTATGTTTAATGTACACATGTCTATGAAGAAAATCAAAGATGTGAAGCTATCCTGCATTAAGCCTGCGTTTTGGTTACATACAATATTTGAATCAATCCTCTCCTGTCGTCATTATGTTTTTTCCGTCCCAGTTCTTCTAGAATATTCGACATTTAGTACTAAGAGTAATGATTAACATTGCATGTGAACATGCTACAAATAAATAAATAAGTTAAACAGATAACTGTTATTGCTATTAAATTTAATTAACTATTGCTTAGATAGAATATTGTTTACTTTAGTACAATGTAATTAAATCGAATCTCGTTAATAATGGAAACAAATTAATGCTATATATATAGATAACGCTATGTACTACAGTAGAAACATGTTATCTGAAGCCCTGAATTTACTCTATATCGTAAAATCGAAGTTTTATCTCTCTCAACTCCTAATTCATTACCCCCTTTATTTCATTCAACGAAACCAAGGCTAGTATAACACGTGCACATAGTTTAAAATCCGTTCATCTCAGTGTGACCTAGAGACGTCACCGCTTAGAAAAAAGGCGCTTTGATTCATGCGACCAAAGTAAACTGGTATAACATGATGCAAAATTAATGTCGGCTCGCATCAAACTCTGGGCATCACAATTTTAGGTATTAGTGGAACGTAAGAGGATGTAGATTTTACGGTGCAGGGTAATATTGTACGGGTACTAGCTTATATAGATTTATTTAAATTCAAAGATGGCAACCAATCCTTACCGTCAGCGTGAGTTATAATAGTCGACTTTAGCTTCGAGCAGCCAGAAAACATGTAATAGTTTGCGCTCTTTGCTTGCCTTGCTCGCTTGAATCTTCCACCAATAGTGAAAGCATTTGCATAGATGTTTTCAGCGAATGACAAGCATCAATAAAGTTTGCATCTTGATGTAGGTTGTGGGCCGAGCGCCCCGTGTGCCTAAGCTATACAAACCAGACCACTCGGCTTCCGTTAGCTTTGATGTATTTGTTTATTGCTATTTTACGGCATCGTAATAAAGTAGCGGTTTAAACAACAATAAAGACATACTAAAGCTAGAAATGTTTTTATAATTAACCTCAGTATTGTTCCTGTCAAATAGCACGTTTCTATTCCAAGAGTTAAGTTGAGATTATTTTGTTTTCTCTAACTTTAAACCGGAAATCCTTGTTTTAACTTGTCTATATTTTAGTAATGTTTATAGTAAAGGGTTTGTTTGGATTTGAATTGCTTACATATTAGTGCTTCTGATCATATTTCACATTTTTTCAACAATTATCAAACAAATAAAATCATTTACGGTGGTTGAAAGTGTTTTAAAAGCAATTTGTGGTATAACGATCAATTATATTGCATAGCGGTGTTTTGTTAAAGTTCTGCCAGCGCGATATGCAAATATCAACTGTATTTCAATCTTTTAAGCTATAATTTTAAATAACAAATATTTTTTAAACATCATTGTAAAAAGTTAACAAATCAATAGAATTTAACAAGCTTGTTTGCTTTCTACATTTATGTGTGAAAATTCTTCGCGATAGCGAAAGATTTTATCACGCAGTTTAAATATTAATTACGTAATTTTCATCTCGTTTATCCATAAATTAAATATTTGTAGAATGTCCGGAGTATATGACATCTTATGGTCACCCTAGTCGGTTCTAGATATCAGATAATTATCGAAGCACACTTACGCAGTTTCCCTGTATTAAGTTATGAGAGCATCGGCTTTTGCATTAATACTGTATCACACGAGGGCAGTACAATAAGCAGTAGGACAAAACAGTAGAATATTTGAACGAACAGCGACTAACCAATAGTGTGCTTGCAGTACTGACTTCTTATACTATTCTGTCATCCTGTGCTTCCCTAGTGGGAAACTCGTATAACAGATGTTTTCAATTTAACGGTGAGTGTGGATTGTTTGACTTCCATGGAATTCAACCGCGAATGAATTGCGCCAATGTAAATCTATTACACGGTACAGATAACCTGGGAATGACTTTAAGATTAAAATCTACTTACTCTACTTAGAATAAAATAGATTAACTTTCTCATACGACATCTATACTAAAGGTATCTCTGATTCTACTTAAGGACTTTAATTGTAAGTAAGAGTCGCATGGTCACGTCTTATTTTTTTGTGTGGTTTATGGTAAAATGAAATAAATAACTTTCCGTTGGAAACGCCTAGATAACAGAGTAGATATTACTTACTCAGGACTAGGGATTTCAGTTAAGATTATATTTCTTCTTATCTATTTTCTTTCCATATTCCAGATGCAGACAATCCTGCACCACAACGGCAGCGGTTCAGCGGCGTACACCAGCACGCTGAAGCGACGTGAAGTGCACCGCGCTATCACGCTGCATCCTGTCAAAGATCATCGACAAATGTACAGACTGCACACTTATTTCAAGGTACATATTGCAAACAGCTGCAGATTACGAACGAAAAACTTTTTGACACTGTCATAGAAAATTATAATCTGTTGCTATAATTTCCGTTTCTGATTGTTGCTGTCTCAAGATGTCTTGTATCTCACTTTCCGCCTTTAAGTGGGTTTAAAATAGTTCCTAATAGAAATCCAGACCAGTCAATTTGTCGCATTATTAACAAAGATCATGAAATTTTATACATCGCGGCAATTTCAAAATATAATTCGAAATTCAAAATTATGTAAAACCTACATGGATCTAGAAAATTGCTTAAAAAGAGGACGCAAAGAGTTTTAATTTAGCAACGATTATGACTTATGACCACTGGGAAAAATACCTTATCATACTCTAACTAATATTATAAATGCGAAAGTTTGGATGGATGGGTGAATGTTTGTTACAGTTTGTAGAATAAACTGCTGAACCGATCTCGATCTTCTCGAGAAGATATAGGTTACTTTTTTAAAATTCCACGAGGACGGAGTCGCGGGCGAAAGCAAGTCAGTCTATAAAGAAAAGCATTACAGTTTTACCTTATTAAAACATAGCCAACAAAATTACTCATTAGTTCCCCAAACCATGGTTTATTTGTTGTACACAAACATTTGTTGTTTGCACTTGTTCCCGTCACGTGGCGGTGTTTGTTCGAGAAACATAACGCATTAATTATTTACATTTAATAGTTTATTTAAAAGATGTACATAAAAAGGCATTGATGTTAATAATCCCAATTAAATAAGACCAAAGAAAAACTTAACAAAATACGTATTGTGTGAAAGAGGATATGCTTAAGGGAGTGGATATGACGGCTGATAGAGATGTATTGAAGGGTAGCACATAGCTTGCTTCACGAGAACTGAAGACGAATTACTTATCTCGTCTTGTTCTATAAAACTTTAGTAAAACCTGTACGTCTAATACATTAGCTTCTCAGTTTCTTAGAAGGGCCACTTGTTTTACGTTCGAAACGAGTTTTCAGGCGGCCAGTGACCCTGGCGAAACAATGCTGCACTCGGTGTCACACATTGCTAAATTAATCTTAAGTTTCTACTGCTGAAACACATGTTGGAAAACACATTATCATTTGTCGTCTCACTCTGCCTCTTAAAAGAATGAGAGATGACAATGTTTTTGTACAAGTTTTAAGTCAGTCGAAACGGCTGAACTAACTTAAATATGATAATTGGAATAATCTCTCTATCGTATTTACGTAGGGCCGAAAAGTTACGAGGTTTAGGCTAAACGCCATCTGTATTCGGCCACCTCAAGCCCGGTGAATATGTAAATGCCTCTTTAAGGCAATCAGTGTCCATTCAGTCACAAAAAAAGGCCGAAAAGAGTCGTTATCTGTTTCTTAATGCAGTGTCATTAATTTATCCGCCTTAGTGAATGTTTAGGGTGATATACCAACGCTTAGGGTTTACCTTATTGTATTGACTTTGAATGCGGCAGTTTCTTAAATGAACATTTACTTGTTTATTAGTAGGACGTGGTTAGTGTAGTCGTTACTGTAGAGAAAGTGAAAGGTCGAGAGGTCAGACGCTACCGCATATTCCTTGCTTCTTTCTACAATACTCGTTGGCCTTGCCGCGAAAAGGTTAACGGGAGGATTTCTTAATTTAAATTTAAAATTAGTTATTAGCATCAAATTACCAGAACGAAAGATATTTTTTATATGAAAAGAAAATGTTAAACAAAACTGATGTAAATTTTAATTATTTTGAAATCCTTTCTCAGACTTTGAATAGTCATCTTCATTTACTAAATATATTATTATTTAGAGTGAATCTTCAATAAGTAGAAAGCACATTTTCATCTTTGTTAAAATGTTTTCGACAATATGCAGCCAACATTACTTTCATGTTTTTATAACCTGTTCTAAAAATTCAAAGCGTAAAAGCTAACTGGCAGCACACAAAAAGCCGTTTATAAAAACAAAACCAAGTAATGGCATAATAACACAGTCGTGTATGGCGGCCTACACAAGGCCCTTTCAAACACCGCTAACAAAACGAGCCGTTGAATTACACAATCTGGTTGTATGCTGTCGCGGCGCCTGTTATTTCTGAAAGGTCGCAAACGAGCAAATAACTAACTGTCTATAGATACATTAAATTTAAATAAACTAGAGATTAGCTTTTATTTACAAAATAGAAAATAACTAACGAGAATACAGAAAGAATAGCAACTTGGGATAGGATTTAAATGCGAAAACATAAAAATTAAACCTCTATGTTTGTACCCTTTGATTTGTTATTCGTTGGCACAATGTTCGTATCTGTGAAGCTTCACAGAACAAACATAATCAACTATTCAATTTTATTAACTTTGCACAAAAGAGTTAAACAACTTGCCAATGTTGGTATTTCCGTTATATGACGTCGGTTCAAGAGGAAAATAAATAGATTGATGAATGATACTACGTACACTGCCATCTATTGATATTCTAATTGCACTAATTTCATTTTTAAAATTATTAGATTTGAATATTCTTTTTTATGATTGGCCAGACGTAATTCTTAATTTAAAAATTGAAAATAATCATTTAAGTTTTAATGTCTTGTTAGGAAAAGGTTTTAATGTAATTAGGTGAGATAATGACTTTTATTTTTGGTCTGCATAAACCGGATCGCGGCTGGAGTAGCGCGTCGTATACCGTTCTGTAGACTGGTACGGACATCGACACAAACTATTTGCATATTATGTTCGGGAGAGGTGCAATGAACGAATTAGTTTAGACTCGCGCTAGTTTAGCGCTAACATAGATATGTAGGGTGACCACGATTTTATATTTCGTTGATAATTTTTTTATCTAAATTTTAACTCTAAGTGGTTACATGATCTTTACCGCTTGTTTTCCAGAACCTTCGTGTCCAGGAGTTGAAAGAGCGTTCGTTGGACCTGCATAGGGACATCGCCGCGTCCGTGCAAGAGCTGGGTGTGGAAGTCGACAAGGTAGAGAACTATGTGCTGCCGGGCGGGGAGCCTCTCTTCCCGCATAAGATGGGAGAGGACGGGTATTTAGGAAACAATAGGATATTAGGTAAGGTATACTACGTCCTTATTAGTTATGTTTGTCATTAAGCAATTTATAAAATCCTTTTTGTGGGAGTAACACAAATGTTTTTTTTTTCAAGCGTGAAGAC